AGAGAGAGAGAGAGGGAAGTCAAGGTAAAGTCGATTATAATAAGTCATTCAGAGCTTTTATGAAAAGTCAATTCCATGGAATGTAGAATTACAGAAAGGTTCCAATACAATCCTCCCCTCGCCCCCTCGCCCCCCCCCCCTCGCCCCTAAGCCACCACACCGTCCGCCGCCCTGTTCCTCTTCCGCTTCTCCTCGTCCATCGACCTTCAAGCTCACCGCCCTTCCCCCCCTCTCCCTCTCCCTTTCCTTCTCAAAAACTCAGATCTGCCAATGAAACCCTCAGACCGATCCACTCTACTTTCAATCCCAAACCTTCATTATTCAAGTTGGAATCTGAGTTCGGATTTCATTAACAAAGCAGCAGCTCTTCTCAGCCTCAACTCAAACCCGAACTCGAATCTAAAAACTCCACTCTCAACCCAATTCAAATCCGAGATCAAAGTCCGAAAATCCTAGCCACTGCTGGAAACCGCGACGTTCTTGTCAACGTTCTCAAGCTCCACGGGCGCCACAGGCGCCGCCGACCTGTCCTTCTCCCTCGAACTTCTCCGCTGACCGGGAACGATGGCGTTCCTGGAAACGTCCACCATCGTGCTCGCAAACTTCCTGGCACTGATTTTGTGCTCGAACAAGATGTCCAACTCGGCGTAGTCCCGGTCCTTGGGCTCCGGCAGCCGGAAGAATTGCCAGATGACCATCAAGAGACAGGTTCCTGCGTAAAAGAAGCCGGTCTTCGCCGCCCAGCCCCATCCACCACTGGCCTTGGGTGTGAGTTGGTAGTTCGCCAAGATGTTGACCAGGATGGCTCCGACGTTGTACCAGCCGCGCGCAATGACTACCGTTTTGGCCTTCAGGCGAGTAGAGGATATCTCGGAAATCAGAGTATAGCATGTCGGTCCGATGGTGAGGTTGTAGACCAAGGTATAGGCGATGAGTAGGGTACAAGTGGTCCAGTGCGCAGCCTTGGAGTCGGAGAATGCGCTGCAGCCAATGGTTAAAAGGAGCAGACCGAGAATGCTAGATCCGCAAACATATAGCTTTCGGCGTCCGACATATCCTGTGATGACCCAGGAGGCTATAGTACCGGCCATTCCAGCTCCATAGCCACCAAGCGTCAGGTTGTAGGCCGTTTCGGTGTCAACACCAGCTTGCGTGTAGAAGTAGGTCGAAGAAGCCATCAAAGCGCTTCCAACAAGCGATTGGGCGACCCAGACCATGGCGGAGATTTCCGTGCGGCGGCAATCGGTACCAGTGAAGCAGTCCTTGTACGCAGTGCCAGCAGAAGCCAGCTTCTCGATCTCGTCTGTCCGCTTGTAGTACTCCAGCGTGCGTTGGGCGTCCGCTGTGGTATATTCCTTGGAGGCGAGACGTCGCAAGGATTTGACGGCATCTTGGTCGCGATTCTGGCGAAGTAGAAACCAGGGAGACTCGGGCGCAAAAATCACGAGAATCATGATTGGAACTGGGAAAGCCCATTCTAGAAAAGTCAAGCTGGTTAGCACTTACTTCACTTGCTCGCCAGGGGAACAGAGGGGGCAGTGGCGACTTACGGATTGCAAAGGGAATTCTGTATGCCCATTGACCATCATAATTGACGAAACAGCGCAGCACGATAGATGCAGCCAGTTGTCCAAAGAGCCAGCAAAAGTTCACGAAATTGGTCACGTAGGGACGGATGGACGTGTGGCAGATCTCGGAGGAGTATGCGGGCGCCATGGCCTGAAAGACACCCCACGGGATTCCAGAGAGCAGCTGGCTCGCAAAAAGGACTTTGACATCCCCCGCGAAAAAGGTGATGAGATTGAAGCCGGCCATGAAGCCCATAAAGACGAACATGGTCTTCTTGTAACCATATCTGTCGCAACAGATTCCATTCAGGAAGAGACCAATGAGTTCGCCGATGATAGGACCAACGTTGAGTCCGGTTTTCCAGCCCGCCGAGACATCATAACCAATTTGAGGAGCAGTAAGAGGCTCTCCAAACTTCTTTTGGAACGAAGGTTGAGCAAAGAGAGAGGGCACGAGCGCGAGACTATAGCCCTCCATGATGAGCGAGGCCGAGAAGATCATGGACCAGAAAATTGACGGACTATACAGACTTACACACTGCCATAAGGTCTTCGAGGCATGCGGATCATGATGATCTGGGTCATCGGCGCCGGATTGGGGGGGTCTATTGGAGGCGCCGGATTGGGAGAATCCAAGGAGCAACGTCGGACTTGTTGCCGTTGCCTCTGCGCCAGCCTTAGTATCGGCAGGAAAGGCTATCGTTTCTGTATCCAGAAGAGGAACAGGAGGAGTCGGGGCGGTATTTAAAATAGACATGACAGAATCGACGATACCGAAGGGGTTTTTGGGTACTTGTTTGATTGGACAGGAAGGTGTTTTGGGTATGTGTATTTATTGTGATGGGTGATGTGGATGTGGATGTGGATGTGGATGTGGATGTTGATGTTGATGTTGACTCTGAGGATCAATCAGTATATCTCCAGAGACGTTTGCGAATGAGGCCCAGTAGACAGAGAATATTTGGGGCGACAAGATGATAGGGAGAAGAGGTTCTATCTTATACAAACGTTGGAGTGTGGGGGCAGAATCCAAGGGTAGACGAGTGAAGACTTACCTAGCTCTTGGGAGGTGATTAGTTACCCAATCAGGTCTTGAGTTAATGGGCTTTTTACCTACTGAGCTACCCAGTTAGTTACCCAGGTATTTATTTGGTTTAGTTAGCTAGCTGGTTAGCTAGTTGGCTAATCAGTCGGTCAGTCAGTCAGTGCTTTTTAGGGATGGAGAAGACTATTACTCAATATCAACATCATCAACACCTATCTCCATGAGTAGGGCACAATCTAGCCTCGGTAGATGATCAGATGACAGGCTGTGGAGTAACGAGGAAGGCACAAAGAACAACAGTCCGGTCGCTCAGGGGTTAGACTAGACTGGACTGGACTGCCTTCGGTCGAGACTGCGGTCGAGATCGGCGGACAAACTTGACGTGCCATCTATGCCCTTTTGGCATTTATCCGCGTCGAGTCCATCAATGTCCCCAACCAGCCCAATCCGTCGTCTTGTCTCTAGGGCATCCATCATTACCTATGCGTCAACCCGCGCGCCAGCCAGGTCAGCCGACAGAGAATTCGGCCCACCCTGGGTCAAGAGCACCGGCTTAGCACCGGCCGTACTTCTCGTTGGCATCTCCATTTCGATCTCCATCTTCCATACCAAGCGATACTGGAAATGCCATCATCTTCGCGCTAAACGAGTCACTACTCAACATCCTTCATCCGCCGAAGAAGCTCCATCGCTAGTAGTGAGGGGTCCCCACAGCCGTACCCTCTCCAGTTCCCGTTCCCACTTGCTGGCTTCGAACTGGGCAGTCTTGATCACACGCTGTAAGTCGTCGGATAACTTTGTCTTCTCCTGCTCACTCGGGTCGTGTGCTCCGAGCCCGGGAAGCAATCTCAAGATGCGGAGAATGTTATCTCCTCTTGCCGTCACCGTCTTAGGGCTTAGGGTCGCTGTAATATCGTCGGCCCCAACGGCCCACACTCGTTTCTATGTCTCTCCCTTTCTCGTGACCACGACACCTCTTGTCTTGCCTCCCCGTGAATTGCGCGACATCTGCTCGCACAGACAACCTCCTTTTGCATGATGCCAACGCATGTGCTTGACTGTGGGCAGAAACAGCAGCGTCCCCTGCTCTCTTCTCCGACTTTGCAGTCGATCCCGAACCAGAGGGGGTAGCTCGTCACAGACGCTCGTCAATCTCGCAAATTTCGTCCAGATCAGCATCGAGCATGACAATGTGTCGGGCGGTGATCCTGCCCGGCATCCTGCCCTCGTTGACAGCCCGGGCACTCCAAATGCGAGTTGCTGCCCGCCGGTTGCCACTCCGACTTTGCGTAACACCCATCCCCAATATCAGAATAGAGAATACTGCCAACGCAGATCTCCCCTTCACTAACATGCCACGTCTTGAGCCTCTCTCTCGATTATTGCATCATCCGTTTCCCGTACCCTCTTCCTCTGTGCCCGGATCACAGGATACGCTCGCAACCGGGTGAAGTACCACGTCTTCCAGCTCACCCTTCTCATCCGCAAGTACAGCCCGATTTTTTGAACGTCTCACAAGATGATAGGATTGGTCTCTGGTCTACTGGCAAAGTCTTATTTACCAAGACCCAGAGCTTCATCCCTCCGTCATCTTTCGCCAGAGGAACGGTGAAGAGATGAGCGGACTCCTCGAGGAATTGATCCAGGGTGAGATAATTGCCCACGATGGGAGGATGGGAGGATGAGCCGCCATATCTTGACCTTTCTCCGGGAGTTGGGAGGGCGAGTTGGAGATCCGGAGAGGTGGCCAAAGGCACGAGGCTGAGTCTGAAGACGGCATGCTAGGAACGGGGCTGGAAGCGCCTGCTGAGATATCACAAGGGGACGATCATATATGGTGTACATGATCATGACTTGTGGGTCGTGATAAAGATGGCTGGATAGGTATATATCAACCCGCAAATACTGCAGGTCTTCGGCATGTGTAGTAAATTCAGTGGCATCGAAGGTTGAGCAAGAAACCACGAGACTGCATCTTCTATCGAGGATATACTCGTCTTACCCTCTGTCGCAAAAGCATTCACCGACGCTCAGCCTGCTTGCAATTGTGCCGTATCCGAAGAGAAAGACGACGTGTGTATGTCACGTGAATGATGTCACGTGTACATATATTGGACTTGGCGAAAGATTCAGCGAGAATTCCAACGACGTGCCACATCTCTTTTCATAGCTATGACCCAGTGTTATTCTCTACCCCAGATTCGCTTCTTCCTCTCGATATAATGAGCCTTTTCCATGCTGCTGTATCTATGCAGGAAGAAGTATCCTCCTGGCTTAATAGGTGGAAGGGTGGGTTCCGTATCTCTCTGTAGTCTTTACTGCGTTAAAGACCTCTTGTTTCTTTTTTTTTTTTCTTTTCGAACTGCCCGATGCACCCATCACAGACCTCAAGATCTTCGAACAGCCCGCCAGCTCTCTCTTCTGCAGCGGCCCGCGCATGCACGAGTTCCTCCGTGAGATGAATACCAACGTCCTATCAAAACACGACACGGTGACTGTCGGCGAGCTCCCGCACACCCAGATCCGGCACACGTCCCTCGATACGTAGGATCTGGAAATAGGCCGCTGGACACGGTCTTCCAATTCGACCTGGTAGATCTCGGGCAGGGCCGAATACAGAAACACGGGTACGAACCGTGGGTCCTCCCACACATGAAAACGGTCATCCGCAAATGGCAAAGCTGCATCGAAGGTACCGATGGCTTGACGACGGCGATCTGCGGCGTTCTGCGAGAACCACGATTACGGCCGGTCCGGCCTCACGCTATGCATCCGATGCGCCGGGATGGCGGGAGAGGAGCGCCAGGATGTTGGCAGGCATGATGTGTGCTATGACGAGCACACTGTTTATGTATCAGGGGCAGGAGATTGGAATGATCAATAAGCCAAAGGAGTGGAATATTGGGGAATACAAAGATCTCGAGTCGATCAAATACTACAGCTCTGTTGCAGACCGCACCGATAACGACCCTGAGGCTTTGGCGCACGTGATGAAGAGTCTACAGATCTTTCAGCTGATTGTTGATTACGTGATCGGATGTTTGTTTGGCTGTTTTTGATATTAAGCGAAGTATGGAGAGAGAGGTCTTGTGAGTGAGTGTTGGCAGACTTCGAATGGGCTGCGCGAAAGACCTTGGACGTTGAAACATATACTCAGTTCCAGTATAGGGCAGCAGGAGAATGGTCCTACTGAAACAACCTCGAGACATTCTATCGTTTCCGATTCTGGCCACGCGTTATGACTGATTATCATGAACTTCGAGTCTTCTCTGGAGTCCGTGGCCCGTTTCTTCTCCAACTCTAAGATACCAAAGGTATACTAACGAGAACAACAGGACGAGCATTCTCGGCTTCAAATTCTCAGCCCCTTTTTTCATCAGTCCCTGCGCTAGCGCCGGTATGATCAGTCCCGTCGCTGAGCGTGGGCTTGTGGGGGGTGCTGTGCTGGAAATGAAGGCATTTTTTATATGGTAACCAGAAACAGCCCAGTCTATCCCCACGGGTATTGCATAACTATGGAAACTAGGGGCTGGCTCACTTAGCGCTAGCCTGCTCTAACCACTGACCTTTCCATGAGCGAAATCGAAAACGCCCGAGTCACGGCCGATCAAGTTCAATCCCGGCAGGTTTATGACTCCGGGTGTACCTTGGGTGCATTCCTTGACGAGAATCGTCTTTATGGAACCCCTTTCTTCTGATCGCGAATCCTAGATCAGCGTCTTGAACAACATAGCGGCGTACGTAAATATCTTCCAAGAAATCGAGCAGATGGGAGCCAAGGCTATAGCGATCACCGTCAACTCTGCGGGTGACCCACGCCCGGCAGCGTGCGATGCGATGCGATACCCTCCCAACGTCAACCTGGATAGCGTGCAGCGCTGGGCCTACACGACCTGGGACTACGACCGCGGGCTCCAAAGCCTGACCCCGCTCCCCATCTTCTCCAAGGGGATCGAGACCATCGAAGACGCGCGCAGAGCCGTGGAAGGCCCCCGCCATCTTCCTCTCCAACCACCAGGGGCGGGCCCTCGATGTCTCGCCCTCGCTGATGGAGATCGCCATGGAGATCTTCGAGGAGGACCCCGAGGTCGTCAAGCAGGTGGAAGTGTACGCGCATCCGCCACAGGGCCGTTTTGATTCGACCGACAACTTGGAATGTTACGCATAATGTCATAAAGCACTCGACCAGTAATTTTTTTTTTTTTTTTTATTTTTTTTTTTTTCGTAAAAAAAAAACGTAAACGTCCCACT